ATTGCCTATAATTAACACGAGAACACAGCTAAAACGTCTCAGAATATAGGAAGGACCTGTCTGCCTGATGATACCTTGAGCACTGCGTCCATTGACGTAAACACAACGGGGGTCCCACTCTGCGCCGCGTCAGCTGTTCTGTTATTTGTCACATGCAGAGCCAATTGAATCGATGTGCTGGCACTATCAAACCCAGAGATAAGATATTGCGAATCATTATGATTAAAATGAGACAATGCAAAAGCCCCAACAAAAAAGTCCCTTTCATAGTGTGAAATATCCTTGATAGCGCTATGAATTCCCTTATCATTAGATAGAAGGTTGAAACTTTTTAATGTCTCTTGATAGACTTGAGGAAGAGTCAAAGGATATGATGGGATAAGCTGAGAATTTACCTCAAGCTGCGCGCACCCTGAATAAGTGCCAGTCAAAGAGCCCAAACCTAAGCCCGATCTTCTAAAATATTGGGAAGAATTATATAAAGGGGCGTAATTCATAGCTAAAAACGTCTCATAATTTGCTAATTTTCGAGGAACTGATACCGTATCATTTAGATATGTGTTGATATCAGCGGCAGCATTTGCTGTAAGGGCTGCAGCTGTTGCGTTATTCGCTAGCTGCAAAGGCGCGATTGTGTTGTAGTTTGATGCTCTATAAGTCCAAATGACTTTATTGAGTGATTGTGTGCTCTCTGTAAATCTCATAATGTTTGTCTTTGAATTCGTCAAAGCGTTGCCGATATGGCATCTAAAATTATTATATGGGATATTCATAGACCCACCGCTTGAAAGCATAGCATCAAACAGACTGTAATAGTCGGGGCTTTTCCAATCAATGCGGTTAATATACGCATACAGATTTGAAATCTCGTATGTTACTGCTGCAGTCCCAACATTGCGCCATAAAACATTGTCAGGTGCAAGCCTCATTCTGATTTCAAAACTGCCAAATAGGTTTGTATCAATGATCGAGGGTCTGCAACTTCCAAGAAATCCGACCCAATCCTTGATGCAGTAGGTATTCTTTGCATAATTAAGGGTTGCCTGATTGGCTGTAGCCACAGCAGCATTTGCGTGGAATGACTGACGAATGACATTGCCGGCATCATCTACTAAGACCCTTAAAGATGGATCAGCATTTGTACTCACTGCTTGCTTGCTTTCCTGCTCACCGCTTCCGTACATGTCCTTATAGATGTTATAAAGCAGATTGTAATTGTCGATGTGCTGGATGTTCACACCATTAACATATATATCTAGGGTTTGAATCAATGATGCGATATGTTTAGGAAAGCCGCAAGGCTCAGTATTAGCATTAGTTTTCGTTTCAGCTTGAAAGAACAATTGAAATGTCCTAAGATCAACAACAGAGGCAGGAGGCAGAGTGATAATCAATTCATCGCCTGCTGCTAGGGTTTGCTGCCCAGTGCTTGGAACGATGCGCACTGGCTGAGTATAATAATTTTGTAAAACATTAAAACTACTATCAAAATTTGAAGGGAAGTGAGTTCCTTTCATCATTCGGCTTTCACCTTCTGCACCTTCCATTTTACTTTTTATTTATTGTGAGATAATAATTTTTCACCTAAGATATCGATATATTATTGTTATCGATGTTTATTGTCCTTTCTGTTTCTATGAATAAAATCGGTGTGCCGATAAAATCAGCTTCATTCTGTGTTCCTGCAGGGACACCGAAGGCCTGAGATTCAAACATGATCTTTGCATTCCTTCCATTTGTATTATATCCAGATTTAACAATACCGTCCTTTGTTTTAATATGATCTTCAAGGGACATCACAGCGCTGAAAAAATCATTTTGAAACTCATAAACATCATTCCATAATGTTTTTCTGATATTAAATGCGTGCTTTGTTTCTCTCTCGATCTCTATCAAATCCATCGGGTTATTATTAATAGGTATATCATCAATATAAAAAGATACATTCTTGATTCCCTTGCCCTGTCGTTTAAAATATATAGAATTGCCTAAGCGAGTCGTTGCATCCTCTCTTATCAATCTTTGATATTCTACGCCAAAATGATTTGTTAAATTTGATTGAAAGGCTGCCGTTTCTGTCTCTCTTGTATTCCTTAGAAATGTAGCAATCAATTTTTTAATACATTCGGCTTTGACATTCATTGTTAGTTTTTGGTTCTTATCAACTGTCAATTTTTGGCCCTTTCTAGAGACATAATCGGTAAAGATCAAATTGTTATTCAAAATGTTAGGGGCACCCTCGAAATCTAGCTTATGGATGTTTGCCTTTACATTTGATATTGTGTAAGATGGAGCCCCTCCATCGATTACCTGCGTGTCTCCTGCTGCTCTTCTTTGTGTTCCTGCTGTCGTATGTTGGAACATAATATAAGCAGGCGCCAACTCGATTTCAATTGATAAATCGATATTGTGGGTATTGATATATTTTAAATCTCTAAAAAATCCTATCCATTCCGTGATGCCGAATCTCTCTTTATATGCTTCTGTTGGTTGGGCTGCATACTGGAACCAACCTGAACTTAATGTATTCCCTATATTACGCGTTGATCTGCTATATGCAACATTAAAACTTGTATCATATTGATATCCGTCAATAGAAATTACTTTAAATTCAGGAGATTGGTTATCAACGGCATTATTGTTCAATGTTTCGTGCTCGATATCATATATAATATTGTATATAGTGTTGAATTCATCGATATTTGAAATTTCGTTATTATTGATAAAGACTCGTAAAGATTGAATAATTGACTGCGTATGCTTAGGAAAATGATAATTTAATGAATAGAACACGCCTCCATTTGATACCAATCGATAGAATGAGGTTTCACCATCGAAGAATATATTGAATGATGATAGATCCAATAATCCCTTTGGGAATTTGATTTTTATTGTATCGCTCGGTTTGTATGATCTGCTTATTTCCTCAGGAAAGAACGAAACGATGGTTTTTCTGAAATCCTTGATTTCATTTATATCTACATTTAAAGCATTCGGTAGAGACATTTATTAATATGTTGATATAATAAAAAAATGGCTCACCAAAGCCTTAACGTCTTAATATCGTCAAAGAATAGACAAATCAATGAAGAGATTTCAAATGTGAATTATGCTTTGACAAATGGCTTAATTAAATGTCGAAGTGATGAATATTTGACAGTATCTTTGAAAAACTTCTCTATGATAAAAAGCTTTTTCGCTGTTATTCCTAGTGTCAATAATGCATTTAAGATAACATTTGTGAGCCCAGATGAACAAACAACAAATCATAATTTCTATTTATCAGAGGGATTCTATAGCATAGATAATTTGATTAGAGATTTAAATGACATTGTGCAAAACAATATCTATATAGCAGAGGCACAGATTACATTTTCATACAATGAGAAAAGAAATTCAATCATTGTCAAAAAGAATATATCTGATGAATTCGGCAGATATTATTTTACATCTGTAAGTTGTGGCATTCTGGTTGGCTGTGATGACAATATACAATATGAGATATTAGAATTGGGCCAAGAATTGCCTTCATTTGTGAATCTATCAGGTCATAGCAATTTGATTATAGAGATTAGCGGCGATGTCAATCTTGAGGCATCTTCAATCAATAATATCATATATAATGATTTCAAGAGCTCGCAGGTATTAGGCATAATCAATTTAAATGATATACCATTTTATAGCCTTATTGATGCAAGCAATTGTAATGAATATAAGATATCAAATAAGGCAATCAATAACATCAAGATAAGGATCATAAATGAGAATGGGCAAGAATTCAAGAGATTGTCAAATTATGTCATTAATCTAGAATTTAAGACGTATTCATTGACAAACAAGACAACGATTTTAAAAGCAATCAATAGGCTTGAGATGTATTTAAGCCGATTATTTGTCTTAATAGGCAATTATATATCTCTTAATGAGTAAAGGATGCCGCGGGGTGTTTCATTTGATGGCTCATGCAATCGACCACCAACATATAACAAAAAAGAATATCCGAAATATCTTGAAGCTAAGATAAAGGAGGTAAAAAATATAATTATATCGCATGGTTAATGAAAAAATAGAATATTATAGCATTCATACACAGCATCAAATAGATGCGTTAAATCATAGCATCAATTTTATTATTAGCAATGGGCAATATGTTGCAGCTGATGGAAGAATTGAGCATTTTAATTTTTCATCTAATCTTAGAATAAATGGTGATGGTCAATGAAGATTTGCAAAGGTGTGTCTCATCTATATCATTATGGGACAAATACAAGGAGATGTCAAAAATCATGTCTATTCTTTGCAACAATGTGGGTTCATATTATAATTTTTGGAAGCAATTGCTGCAAGTTCCTCTGATCATTACATCATCAGCGATGGCTATTCTCAATAGCAACATTGACAGCAAGGAAATGAAGATTATAAATATTGTATTCAATGCCTTAACTGCTATCTTAATATCATTAAATAATCAATTAAAGTTTAACGAGAAGGCTAGTCAATTCTTCATATTAGGAATGAAGTTTAGCAAACTTGAACATAGCATTGAGACAACAATGAATCTCAATGACATGAATAATGAAAAATTAAACAGTTTTATTGTTGCCTATGATAATCTTATGGAGAACACGGATAACATACCTGATTATTGTAAGCAACAGATGAAAAAGAAGATTTCAAATTATACATATATTCCCTATATTCTCAATGGTGACAGTAATCACAATAGCAATGCTAATATCGTTATTAACGATGCTTAACGATCTAAGTGCCGAAGGGCCTCTTTATACCCTCCTATACAATATCTATCACGAATAAAGGCGGGGTATGTCTTGAAATTTAATTTGCTTTTCAAATCTTTCATTTCTTCATCATTGAATTCGAGGATATCAAATTTTTTATATTCAATGGCTTTATCAATTAAGAAGTCTTCAAGCCAATCACAATACTGACATCCTATCTTTGTGATGATGGCATATCCATTTTGGGGGAGTCGATCCATTTTACAATTTAGTAAGGTTAAATTTATTTAGATAAGATTTATAAGATTCATTTAAGCTTTTATGATTCCATAGAATCCATCGGCTCAAGCTTCCCGCTGTGTCTGGTACATTCCAATTTTCACTTGATTGATGGCGGCTTATATAATTAGCCTTGCGACTATCATCTTTATGCTTGGTATAATCTGAATAGCCAATAGCGCCGAAATGTATAGTTTTTATTCTTTGCTTATCCTTGTTATAAAATTCCATCTTGTATTTCTTGCCTTTAACATCGCTTCTAGATAGCTTAACATGTTTATAGGACATTGCTTTTATTTGAGGTTAAATTTTAAATTGTGAAAAAATTGATGAAATTTAATAAAAAGTGATATAAGTAATAAAATATATGTATAAGTAAACAAAATGTTTGATCTGTTTGAGTTGCCGCATGATATCCAAGAGAGGATATTTGAAAAAAATTATAACATTGATAAGGTCATGGATAACATCGATATAGCAATAGCTATGATGGAGTTTAAGCTAAATTTCTTTCTTGAAAATATTGATATCTTCATAGAGATGAAAGATATATTTAAAAATAATTCAAGTCATGCAGAGCTACATAATAAGATGATTAAATATATTGATGAACTTGATTATGTGGCCTATAAATACGAAATTATATCCGATGATTACATCGGTAATCTGTTTAATAGCATGGATGAAATAGATGAATTCAATGAGTGCTTTGATTGATGCAAGAATATAAATTTATTATTAATTTTTTTAGTTTAGATGGAGAATGTGGAGGGTTTGGAGGGTTTAGGTCCTTAATTACTTATCAAGCGTTGGGTATTGGTTGAGAGAACTTGTGAAAAAAACCCTCCACACCCTCCACACCCTCCACTCAAACGACCATATTTATACAGATAAATAATATATATACTGTATAATAGTAATCTTTTTTAAAGTGGAGGGTTTAGTGGAGGGTTTATAGGATGGTTAATTTTTACATGCAAACCCTCCACTCTTTAGGAGTTTGCAGATAAAAATTTAAAAAATTATATGTATATAATAATTGTTTAGAATATAGGAACAACAATAGCGTCATCGTCCCAAAACTTCTTTTGAATTAACCACTCTTTAACTTCTTTGAAGTTAATTGAATATTTATTGAATTTGTTTTCTTCTTTTTTCTCTAGGCCTTTAATAGACTTTAATTTGAGAGAAAATGCGGTCTGTTTCATAGTTGCCTGCTCATTTCTTGTTTTTGTGCAGTATTTGCAATATTCAGAATATAAGTTGCTTGCTTGTATTATTTCCTCATCATCTTTATCATCTTTATCATCCTTATCATCCTTATCATCCTCATCATCCGAATCATCAAATTTCGTTTGATTTAACATTATTTTATTTGCAAAGAATCGCGCCCAAGTTGGGATGTTTTGCTTTCTCATATCTTCGTATGCCTCCCCGTTGGGCCTTTGGTTTTGAAATTCAGCGGTGCTTTTTGGAATATCAGGGAGATTTTTAAGATATTTAAACATGGCAGCGCCCCAATCTGGCTGTTTCATAGTATTAGTGAATTTATCAAAATACTTAACATTACCGATCATTTCTTCGGATACATTAAAGACGCAGAATCGTCTGTCTGTTGCTGATATGGTCAAAGGGTTATCGTTGTTTGTTGTACACACGAAACTCGCTAAATTATCGATTTCAATCGTATTCATGCCTTTTAAGTCGAGACGGCTTGTATTATTAGTGATCATATCCCTAAATTGTCCGGCATTTTTATGAAATGTTGTCCCTTTAATTTCTTCGAGTTGTACCAGCAATGAATTATGCAAGCCGTTGCTAAATCTGCCGAATAAGTCATTTTCAGCATCACGGGTTACCTTATAGTAATTCTTGCCAATTACTTTTTTACCGAAGAAATCAAAGGGTGAGGATTTACCGGATCCTTCGCCTTCACTCTTGAAAACGAGAACAACCCCCGATTTATTGGTTGGGTTTTGAATTATATTAGCTAGCCATTTCATGCAATAAATTCGTCCTTCTTTGCCAATAAGCATATCAAAATGATCTAAATATGGTTGTACAAGCTCCATCATACGATCATCATCAACCTCAGGGAATTTTTCGGCTTCATATCCTTCAAACGTGTTGAAGATTTCAGGAGGAACTGTTTTTGTTGGGTCAAATCTTACGGCTTCATATACTCGTTTATCTTCGTCATCTAGCCATTCTTTTATAAAGCTAACTCTTGCAATCATAGGATTGCCGTTTTCATCGAGCACTGGTTTGCCTTTCTTATCGGTCACGATTTTATTAAATTTGATATCATTGTTTGCCTCTCGTATTTTTTTACTATCCAAAATAATATAAGAATTTTTGCCATATTCTTTACGATAAATATTTGGGGGATATCTGACCTTGAAGGTGTCTTCTTCAAAGGCTTTTTTCATTGCTGAATACGTATTCAAATCTTTGAGATTAAGTTTTTTCTTAGTTTGGTTTGTCTTGAATATTTTATTATATTGATCTTCATTCTCTTGTTTTGCGTAAAAGTGCAGTGTCCCAATATTAATATCCTTATAGTTTTTGACAGAATTCCATATCTTACCAAATGAACGAGCGTCATATTTATCAGATTTAGACGACCATTCATCAGCGAGATCATAAACCTCATCTTTATCAGATCCTAGATGATTAGCAACAGCCGCAAGAACTCTTATCCATTGATCATAGTTGCAATCGGGAGAGATAAGACCAAGCAGATTTTTAACCTGTTCGAAATCTTCTTCACTTGACTCGTAAGATAAAGCATCTTCTGACGTTGTAGAAACTGAATCACTCGGCCCTTTTGCTGGTTTGTTGTTGCCTTCGGCAAGCGCTCTACGAGCAGCTTTGCTGGAAGCGTCTGATGCATATAATGCTTTATCATTTAAAGGTTGGCTGTCAATCATTTGTTTTAAATTATCTGGGATAAAATCAAACAATGCTTTTGAGATGGGTTTTAACTCATTTTCTTCAAGAATGCTATAAAATCCATCATCACGGAGTGTCCCCGCACCAATGACGCATTTTGTATCATTGAGGATATCAATATAACCAAGAAAGCCAATTTTATTTTTCAAATATGGACAATATAAGAAATAGTGATGTTCGCCTTTTGGTGTTGAGACTTGAAAGGTTTCAGCAGATTGCACCAAGTTTTCAAATTCTTCATTCCTGTTCTCAGCCTTAACAATATCAAGATCGATGACCGTGATATTATTGATCTTTCCAGTAAGAACAGCATAAAGAACGCCTTTATTGTCGTTTATTTTGTCATCGATTAATTTATGCCAGATCTTGAATGTCTCTTTGTTGTGTATTTTTGTATCGTTCCAGCCAGCAGCAAGGACATATGTTTTTTTAATGATCATGTCAGATTCAAATTCCTTGTTGTCCTTATCATTGGGATCTTTTGGATAGAGGGGGACACATTTGAAACCTAAATCTTCCCTGATATGCTTATAGTCTTGAATAGCACCTTGAATATCATAAGTTGCAGAAGGCAAGCGAAAAGTCATCCTTTTACTTATAGGTGAGATTTTTTTTTTACTTATATTCATTTTTTTACTTTATATCATTTTTTCTTGATTTTTAGCATTTTTTTTGCAATTTATTTTTGTTACTATTATAACAGTAAAAAAATAAAAAAAGACTGCATCACTGCATTAATTAGATGATTGATTCTCTCTTTCTGCCTTCTTCCTATAATAATATTCAAGCGACCTTTGTTTGATCATGTTTCGGTATTCCTCGTCATTTAAATATTTATTGTTTCTAAATTCTGCAATCCTCTTGCATTCTTTGTCGTGAAATTCTTTATCATTGTTGAATCTCTTCTTGTAATAGCGAGCCTGTGCCTTGGCGGTCATAGTTGGTATGTTTCAACTTTATATATAAGTGAGAAAGTTTATTTTACTTATATATATTAAAAATAATCAAATCATTTTTATATAAATTAGATTATCCGGCTCTTCCATATATTATTTTCTTTGTATAGTTGATATGTTGCCATGCTTGCGGCTGTAGGCTTGGCATTGCCACCGGTTGAAATGATATCATTCAATCGTTTAATTATTTTAGTTGCAGTTATCCGCTGCTTATTATCTTCGTATTGCTGTTTTTTCTTTTCTAATATATCAGATTTATTATTGTTATAATATTTCTTTTGCCTTGCTCTCTCGCTAATTCTAGGATCTTTTATAGGTGGTTTCATTGGTTGCCTTATCGTTGGCGAAGCCAAGCGCAGCGTTGGTTGTACTGACTCGATAGGTTGGATCTCATCGGTTGGTTCTTGTTTGATCCTGATTGTTTCAGCGGCCGCAGGTTGGGGGTCAGTGAATCCCTTTTCTTGTTTGATCTGGATCATCTCATTTTTGGACAATGATTTTTTATATGTTGCTTGTTGTTGCATCACACTATTGCGCATCTTCAAGGCTACATCTTGTAAAATCTTATTTGGTGTGTTGTTCTGATAAAGATATGTCACGAAACTACTGCGAAACATATTGACATTCAATTGATGCTTATCAAACATATATTTTAAATAGGTTGGCATATTTGCCTTTGCTGGTTTATTTCTATCTTTGATTTGTGTTATGAAATATTCACGTGGATATAGGGCGTAGCTCTCACGAATGAAATCACTTAATTTAAAAGCATATGGTGAGAGATTCTCGCTTATCTTTGCTTTGGTATTGATCATATAGCCGACAAAGTACCTTATAGATCCGTGCTTTTTCTTGTCCTTATTGAATACATATTCACATAGCTTCGATTTGTCGTTTGGCAAATAAATATAATCTGTGTTGTTATTAAGATTGTTCAATGTGCTTGTGAATTTACAATCTGACAATTCAAGCCTTACCGGTGGCGTGTATAAATACGCTTGCAAAATTAAGGCATACATGTGCAGTTTATAAGTCTCTTGATGATCTTTACCTTTGTTTTTGAGTGATTCTCTAAATTGTTTATTCATTTCTTCAACAAGGTCAAGCAATGCACCATAAGGAATAAATTTTAATTCTTCATATTTGTTCAATTGGTTTTTTCCCTCTTGATCTTTTACAACTGCATAATCGAAATCGGTCGCAAGCATCACAAGTTTTTTGTGCAATTCATTATCTGGACCAAATGCAATTTTCAACAATCTAGCAAAATCATATATATCATTCCTAATTGTTGCGACTGATTGACCCTTATTGAATCTAATAATCAACATCTGATTTAAAATCTTTCTGTGGTTCTCTATAATCCATTTAAGATCTTGTAAATCTTGCGGCACATCAGGAACATTTTTCTTAATAAAATTAATCATTGATGCCGGTCCTTTGTCTGATTTGACAGGCCCAATATTAGCATATTTATTTTGTTTCAAATCTTCCAATGTAGGCACAACATTATATTTTATCTTCTTATATTGTTCAGGTGTATAATCTAGCTTATATATTCCATTAGTCCAAGCGTTGGGGCCGTTGACATATGAATTAATACTTTCAACCATAGCCTCGAATTTATCCCATAGTGTAAAGGCTTTAGTTGCATCCGTGAATTGATTGAAATCAAGCAATTTTAATGAGTTTTCATAAGCTTGAGAGGTGGCATCATTCATAAGCTTAAGCTCCTTGTAAAATCCAACATCACGCGGCGCCTTGTTGATGGTCTTTGCTTGTGCAGGCTTGGGCTGTGCTTGCTTTGGTTGATTTTGCTTTGGTTGCTTTGGTTGCTTTGGTTGCTTCTTGGGCTTTTGTGCCTTTGGGGCTTTAAAGTTGTCTGGCTTGAACTTCTGAACTGGTTGGGGGTTTCTTTTTTGGCGATTCATCCTTTATAATATATATAGATAATTATTTTTCTTATGTAGTTTTATGTTTCCTTACATAAAAAACAAAAATTAAGATTTGATCATTTTTATAGACCAAGGTCTATGTCTCTATTTCCATTATAAGCGCGTATTTCATATTGACCTAGTTTTAATGTATGGTTCCATGTTGTTTCATGTTTTTCGATTTGTTCTTGTGTTGGTTTTTTGTTCCATGTTCTAGAGCATACAGGGCATTTATAAATAGTTTTTCCTTTGTGAGTCTCAACTATTAAATCATGTGGTTTCAAATTATTGTATTTCATGCTTAATGTCCCTCTGTTTGGTAGTGCAGTATATTTATATTGTGTGTGTGGTTGTATGCTTGATCTATTTGGTTTTACATCTTGAGCGCTTTTATATTGTTGGTGTGGTTGTGATTTTTTTTTAATATCGTCCATTATCTGCTTAACTTCGTCATATTCTTTTGATCCTTTCTTGACAATGCACCACGTGCCAGAATGACCTTTATTGAACTCTTTAAGCGCTTGAATCCATGTGTTGCCTTTTCTAGTACTCATTTATAATAAAGAAAGATAGGTTTTTGGGGCGGATGGAGAGTGTGGAAGGTTGGAGGGTTTGTTAGGTCAATTACTAATAGGCCAAGATCGATCAACTGAGAAGAACTTCTTGAAAAAACCCTCCTAATAGATAATAGATAATAGATAATGGATAATAGATAATAGATAATAGATAATAGATAATAGATAATAGATAATAGATAATAGATAATAGAAAAAAAATAACATTGAATTAGTAAGGAATATTTATAAAAATAAAAAATGCCAATAGAGAGAGGGGAGTGTGGAAGGTTGGAGGGTTTGTTAGGTCAATTACTAATAGGCCAAGATCGATCAACTGAGAAGAACTTCTTGAAAAAACCTTCCACACCCTCCACACCCTCCACCTCTAACGTCTATATATACAGATAAATAATAAATATATATATGATTCTGGTAATGATTTATGAAGTGGAGGGTTTAGTGGAGGGTTTATGATTTATTGAAAAACCCTCCACTCTTCAAAGATTGGCAGGGTTTTGCAAAGGTTTGTAAAAACAACGTGTTTAATATTTTACCCCCTCACCCCACATAGATTTTTTTATTACTTATATGATCCTTGAAGGATTCATAATTTTCATTAATATTATGTTTGCTCTGGCACACTCCGTGTGTGCGCTCGTTTGTTTTTGGTTATTTTGTGTGATAATCCGCACCAATGCGCAGCTATTATTTCAATTGCATAAAATATAATAGGGATTAGGTAAGGAAAATAAAGAGGAATAAATGAATTATTTGGGTGTTCGTAAAAATCATTGAAATTTTAAATTGATTTATAAAAGTTTGTCTCCTCACGTTTCCAATGTATTTACTTAGCTAGGAAGGTTCTTGGCCTTTTCCCACGACTCTGCGGCACTCCATTGTGGTGAAGCCACCAGCTAAGAATATCAGCAGCGTTCAGAGACAGGCAATCACAGAACAGCAAGTCTCACCCCCCAAAAGTCCATTACAACAGCCTTGCATTGATAATCTGCCGCCCTCGTAGTGTTTGACCTTGAAGACAAACGCCCAATTGTAGCACAGTGCTGTTTGAGCAAGTTGAGAACCGGTCTTCGAACCAAGATAGTCATCCTTTTTCAGCTGCAAATACATTCAATGCGAGTGAAACGGACCTAATAACTTCTCAATGGAGTCTCTTCCTTCAAAACCATCCTGAATCTAATTTACAGCTAGTCACACTTTGCGCTACTAGTCACCCAAGCGTAATATCATAATGTCATGAAGAAATATAGCACCTTATCCTCTGTATTACTTATTGCTACCTGTCTTGTCAATCACGATAATCTTACTAACATGTACAACACTGAAACTAACTCTGACACTCGGAATCTGATTTACCACCTGCTCCGGACTGTTGTCAAGTAACGCAGTCACGCAGCCATGTACTGCCTATGTGCGCGATCACTTTCCCACCATAATACTCTTGTCATTTGATCACCGTGACATGCATATCACGACCTTCTCCTCCTCCTATCTTCCGTCTACTTCACCTACCATTCCTTCGTCATTTCCTGCCATTTTTTCCTTTAGATGATCTTTTACGGCTCCACCCCCACCCCCTGCAGACGTACCGGGTAATCGGTTTGCGGGTCCAGTACCGGTACTGAAATCTCTCGAACCTCAAACAAGTATGGAGTAGGTGGGGTGGTCCTAGCGGAAGTTTGTGGCAGGAGGGCGGGAAACATGCGGAACGAAAAATTCGAGGACGGAGAACGATGGACACAGAAGAAGAGGAGCAGAGGCGAAGCGAGCAAGTGGAAGGATATGAGATGGATGAGAATGCAGTGACATCGATTCAGTGAATATTGTTTCTGGCCCTGATCAGGATAAGGCTGGCAGGAACTGAAAATGCTTGGAAGTATCCGAGCAGAAGCTCTAATGAAGAAGATGCAGATGGGTCAGCTAAAATCTAACGATCTTGCATCGATTGTCAGCGATGTCCTCAACCTGCTTGATTCAGACTTCGTCATAGAAGAGAAGCAAAGAGTGGATTTAGAAGAAAGTCTTGGTCTGTGCCTATGCGGACTTGCTGCGTTTCGGAGGCTCGATCTCCTTGATTCAAGATCACTATCTGTATCTTTGTCGCATTTTTCAGGTTATCTCTGGAAATGCAAGTCTCAGTGAGATTGATCGATGTATAGATGCGTCGAAACGCAACGATGCTACACGCATATCTGCTCTTCATCACTTCTTCAAGTCATGTGTATCCAAGTATGCACCGTCGTCCCCAAGCTTGCCTCATTCCGGGACGTCGATGAACCATAGTATACTGCCTGAAAGCTGCATTGCAGACTCAACCACGAAGGATGTGAACAGCGGCCTTTTTGAGCACGCTTTCTCAGGTGCAAAGCATATCAGACCAAGTGCAAGACCGTTGCTTTGCAGGCCGGAGGTTCTACTCTGCTCACTCGGAGCATGCCGAAGCTGCCAGGGATATCTATTTGGCCATGTGAGGTGAAGCTTGTTTTGATGTCATATGACGACGGCCCGTTGGTGACTGTGACTGTCTCCAGTGACATTACATGCGGATCATGTTCTCAGGTAAATTTGTTTTGAATTCACGGAGGCAAGGATCTACGTGGGGATGACTTCGTGTTTGTTTGACTGACAGAATGGAAACAATCTCTGTGGAATATCAGATACAACGAAGCTAAAATCCAGAGTTCTGTCATCTTTCTCGTCGCCTTCGAGCAGCTTCTACAAGGCATCCAATCCTATAAACCATACCCAACGAGTTTTTCGATCTGCTTCACCTTGGACAGAGCAAGACCAAGATTTCAGCGTGATGGAGTCCATCAAGTCCACTTCTCCGTTTCAAGATGTCGCAGACGGAGAAATGGAGATAGAATCAATACATGATCGCATCAGTCCAAAGGTAGGACCAAACGTTTTTGAAATCACAACTAGAAGAAATCAATTTGGTGCGGGATCCAAAACGTCAAGCAGCATTCACAATCATGGGATAGAAAACATGCCGCTTCAAACTCCTTCGGAAAAATTGAAGAAACATGATGTCAGGAATTTTAGTGCCTTCTCAGCAAGTCCAGATTCATCGAAAGGTTCCAGCTCAGAATTTGATTACGATTCACCTGAAGTTTTGAGGAGAGCTTCGAGTGATGAATTTGAAAAACCGCAGAGATCATCCATGAACTTCATTGCAAAATCATCACAAGCTTACGACCTTGCACTCAAAATACAGGTGAACATAATATTTTTGAAGGTGTGTCAATAACTTGTGCCTCAGCAAAATTTTTCTTCTACACCACAGATCCAATCAGAAATTATCACATTATTCCAGCGCTTCAACCAAAAGTCTCTGCCAGTGACAGATGCTCGGAATGAACTTAGGTTGATCCTCCGAGATGATAAATACAAAATCGTTCTGGATGAAATCCTGGAATTTCTCCCTGAAGGAAATGGAAAAGACAGTGCCCCAAGTCCACCAAGGAAGAAAAGTGTTCCACCAAGGCGAAGTGCAAGAAGGTAGCTGAATTAGAACTCGCAAGGTTTCGATACTGTAATCTATTGCAAAGGAAGAAATGGAAAAAGAAAGAGTTCTCGGAAGAAGAAGTACGAAGTCTCATTGAAGGGGTCCAAAGATTTGGATTTGGGAAATGGAAGGCAATCTTAGAGCACTACAATTTTGGTAAGTCAGACAACATTCGAATATGGATGATAGCCTCATTCTTTCTTGTGGAGGAAACCGTTCGGCAACCAGTTTGAAAGACGCTTTCCGAAATCTTGAGAGACGGAGATGGAGTAATTTCCGGCAAGAACTCAACAACATCACCCCATCTCGGCGAGGTGCGTTTGATCCTTCACCAGGATCGTCACGAAAGCTCCCTCGATAACGCAGATGGACGACACGTCAGTCACGACGAATGGGATTGAGAGATTTTCTTGCCATGTCACAGCACAACAAACAATTCATTAGGTCAATCTTGCTCAAATTTGGTAAATCACTCAGAAAAAGCTTGAGCTTAATTCTCAACACACACAAACAATGGATGCCGGCACGAAGTGATGTGGTCCCACCCCCCTCAGTGCCTCATCTGACTTGACCAATCAGCACTGGACCATCAGGTCCCTCGTGAACAATCTTGACGACGGGTCGTTTCTGTCCAGAAATCAGCTGGAGGAGATGGGCGGGCAGTGGAGAGATAAGGAAGGGGAGGGAGAAGACAGGAGGGAAAGGGAAGGGCGAAGAGGCCAGTGGCAGAGAGGTGAAGATTGAAGGAGACAAGAGTAGAGGAAAGGGGAGGGAGGAGACAGGAGGGAAAACGATGTGAGGAGAGGAGGAGGAGAGGAGAGGAGGAGGAGAGGAGGAGAGGAGAGGAGAGAAACGGGGTGGGAAAGAATTTACCTTCTTGAGGCGAGAGAAATAGATTGCGACGAGGAAGATTACTGTGATGCCTACGATACTGGAGACCGCTCCAATCTTCGAAAAGAAGTTAGCTAATGAAGAAAGAAGATTTGCCTTGAGCTCTCACGATGACGCTCTTTTGCTTCGGCCCGGTCGTATCAGCTGGCATGTATACCGGCGACCTTCTCTGCAGCACATGCGCCTTGTAAGCAACTTCCTCCCCTGGACGACCAGGTCAGTCCTCAGACCAGAAGGGAGCGGCAGGAACCTGTAGCTCTGCTGCGGACAACCACGTTCACGATGTAGACGTTGTTGTCAGAGTCGTCAAGGCCTTTGAGGTTGCGGGTCAACCGGCCGTCAGGGAGCTGAGAAGGGATCGGTAAGTGAGGGAGGCGGTAGGGAGCCTTCCAACCTGATCGAAGGCCTTGTATGTCAGCCACTCGATCACTGGATTGGCAGCTGAGATGTTCCCCGTGACTCCCACCGGCCTCCCAGTCTGGTTGAGGCCGAGAGACGTCCAGTAGGTCCTCACCTGCAGCTCTCTCAGCTCGAGCCCAGCTGGACTCTTTCTTCCCATCTCACCAGGGGGTCCTTGAGAGAGGCGTCGAAGATCCCCTTGTAGTCATTGTACGCCTCCTCCCACGTTGCGAGGTCGATGCCTTGACCCGAGTGATTCAAGGCGGCGATTTGGAAGTTCCAGCCCTGTCAGGGTTGATGTATCAGCACTGACATGTCCCGACCTCTCCTTCCCTTCCTGCCTGCCCTGCCTCTGTGTCCTCTGAATCCTCGCCTTCAGGCTCCCCTTCCCTCTATCCTTCCCTCCTCGCACTCAACATCTAGCACCCTTCATCCTCTCTCATGTCATCACAGCTGGTTCGCTCACAGATTTGAAGCCGTTGTCGTACTTCTGTCGCTCAACGCTGTATTCGGCTTCGTACTCGCTCTTCGATATCAGCCCATCGCCGTTGACTGCTCGTGTAACGGTCAAAGTCAGGCGTCAGGGTCAGCAAAGTTGGTCGTCACCGTCCAACCGGGCGAACTCTTGCCTGGTGATCACTTGGTAGATCCCGCACTTGCCCTGACTGTAGAAGGGGAGGAGCGACGAGGTCAGTGGGCCAGCACAGGAGAAGAGGAGCATACGGGCTTTCGTCACAGAAGAAGACGGAGGGTTGATCCCAGTCTATCAGCCTCGTGTACTGGTTGTAGATGCTGTCCCTTACAACCCCCCACCTGATGCCACGTCACTAGGGCAGGAACTGAAAGTCCTGAGGCGCACCTGTCGCGAATGATCTGGGTGAGGTCGACGACGTAAATCATGTACTCCAGCTCCTCGTCGGAGATCGCGTGCACTGCCTGCTGTATCTGATCCCCAGCCAGGGCCTGTCAGACGAGGAGGAGCAAGGAGACGAGGTCTTACCGCTGCAGGAGACGCTCCTCCCATGTACAGCTCAGTCACGTTCTGGAGGTCCCGCCTGCCTCGCCGCTCTCCGGCGCTCCTCTGACTCGCAGACTGCTGGAACTCAAGGAATTCTTGGGCTCCTCTCCTCATGGAATCCTCGAAACCTGAGAACTCAGTCAGCCAGCCCGTAGGCGCGGCTGTTCGATCCCCACCAGGAACGCTCTTTAGAGCCTCCAAGGCCTCATTTGTCTTCTTCAGCTCAGCCTGCAGTGTGGAGGCATCGAGGCCCTGGACGAGTTTCAGTTGAACCACCTGAATTTTGTTATGAGTGCTCTCACCCTAGCCGATCGATCGTCTTCCTCAAGAGCATTCAGCCTTCTTTGAGAGGACAACGCTGTCATGGACGAGGCCGGCTGGAGAGCCCGCGTCAGGTCGAAGAGAGGGGAGGGAGCGAGGAGGTGCTGTTTCACGTTTGCTCGGAAGATGATGTCTTCATGGGAGAGCAGATCGCTGGCCTCTTGGACCTGAAGCACAAACTCAATCACTTCGAGTCAACAACTAGTTTGCAAAAGTGACTTCGATCCCGCACTTTCCAGCACTTACAATGTCATGGTATCCCGCCTCCTTGAGAATCTTTTCCACATCCCCCCATCGCACGTGCGACCCATCAGCCTGGACCCCGTCACTTGCGTTCAGCCTCCCTTCTCCTTACCATGAGCTTCCGCAAGGCCACGTCATGCTCGCCCAGCGGCTCCTCCTCCTCGTGCATGTCCCGCAGCTGGCGGAAGTCGATGTGTCGTCGGGCTGTTGTCGAGTTTGACTTCCTGGTTGGCGGCCAGAAAGAGATTTGGTACTCCCTGGGAAGGAAATCATCTCACAAGACCGAGCGATACGTTCTCATACGCGGGGTCAGCTGAGGGCATCTTGGTGATGTCTCGACTCCACCCGACGGTCTGGAGGGAACGAGTCAAGTCCTGACAGGCCTCGCACAGTTGACTGCACGTTTGCGATTGGGTTCAACTTCTCCTTAGGAATCCTCTTCTCGTCATGAATCTTCGCCGAAAATTGCTGCCGATGAAGTGAGATGCGAGCGGCGCAGGCGTTGACTCCTACAAATTTCGCAGTCGGCATGATCAATTCTTGATACTTGCGAAGCATGCTGGAGTCATTCGGTAGGAAAAGCCTCGAAAAATCTAGAAGAGAGGACGAGTCAATACATCTACGAACAAGCGCCGATTTCTCAATATACAATCTCATCGACGTTGTTTGCCTCTGCATTGTATCCTGCATTGCTGCAAGGAGAAACCATCAGCAATTGCCCAGCAGACGCTCTGCTGACTCAACCGCAGCTTCCTTGACAGCTCCGTCATGGTGTAGTTGGAGTCAACCTTAGGGTGGAATTGAACGATCTCGATGTAGAAGTTGCGGTAACTTAAGACGCAGTCAAAGAGCAGCCTATCTCAGACGCAGCTTACGAGAGGTCGATGTCAAGAGTTTCAATGTCCCCGACCCACTCCCACTCCTGCGGAGGAGTTTGACCCGCCGCCAACATGTCATTGCGGCTTCTATGGAAGGTCATCAGAAACGCACGGGAGGAGGGGAGGGAGGAGTGAGTGAGTGAGTGAGTGAGTGAGTGATGGAGGGAGGGAGTGAGTGATGGAGGGAGAGAGGGAGGGAGGGAGGGAGGGTCATTTTTACATGGCATTTTGATATTCGTAGTGCACCGGAAAGCCATTGGAAGGGCAGCCCAACGCAGACACGAGCATGTGCGGCGTCCCGCTATATGGCTCGAGGTGAAGGAACATCTTTGCCTGCCGCACACTCACTCAGCCTCTTCGGTCGAGGGAGCGTTGGGAGGGACCTTTGTCCAGTACACGATCTCCCGCGTTACAGTGTCGTTGAGGGAGAGATAGTAGCATTTGATCTCGCTAGGAAGGATAGAAGAGGTGATGGTCTGCTCGGGCTGCAGCAAGTGAGGTGAGGTCGACGAGGGAGCAGGGACAGACAGTTACCTCAATCACTTCGGGAGTGATGGACAACACTTGGTGGGCGAGGAGGAGGAGCAGGGGAGGGATGACATGCGGTCTCATTGCAATATAGAAGCTCAGAAAGGAGGGAAAGAGGAGCAGCGGCCCTCGCTCATAGACGAAAGACTGCAAGCAAAACGGTCAGTTCTTCCTCCCCCTTTCTCTGTCTACTCCCTTATTCATCTGCTCCCAGGCTTTCCCTCCTCCCGCTCACAGCATTCATATTCCTGCCTTCTCGTCCCTTCTCTCGCCTCCTCCTCCCTCTCCTCCCGTCCTCCTCTTCCCTCTTTCCTCCCCCGCCTGCTGCCTCCATCCAGCCAAGCTCACCTCCTCTACCCTTTGACCTCTTCCTCAAGTCATCTCAAGTGCTACTAGGACCCTGTTCTAGTAGCTCGTACCCCCTTCGGTCCTAGAGGAACAAAATGGATAAAGAAATGCGTTTGAAGTGGAAAACTAAGCGAAGTCGGTCGGGCCCGGGGCCCGGCACTCAAATCACTTGACCCTGACACCCTGACACTGTCACACTGGCCAAACGGCGAGAAGAGAAAAGACAGAGAGAACCAATATGATCATTGAACTTGTGCCTACCAACGGGCTGGCCCCGCACTAGTAGTACTACTGGACCCTCGGCGCGGCCCCGGGGCCCGGCCGGCGACCGTCTGATGAGTCACTACGGTACCGTACCGTACCGTACCGTTCCGGAAGTTCTGCAACGGTATGTAACCGTGAAAGATACGTTATTTTATGTAACGGTAAAGAGGAAATGCGCGTGTTGGCGCCAAAGGATTCAACTGCGAGGTGAAGTGAAGCTGCAGATGATGATGATGATGATGATGATGATGATGATGATGATGATGATGATGATGATGATGATGATGATGATGATGATGATGATGATGATGATGATGATGATGCTGATGATGATGATGATTATGATGATGATGATTATGATGATGATGATGATGATGATGATGATG